CGATGCGGCCTGGACCGCGCCCGACACATCTGGCGCACGCACGCATGCGCACCCGACGTGCCCTGGCCATAGACGCGGCTTATTTGGCTATCATTCAACCCCTAAGCCACGGCCTGGAGCAGTGCCGGCTCGAGCTTGTCGCCGGCCTCCGCGATGAGGGCTTGCTACGCCGCCGCCAGCTTCCGAAGCCCTCGTGCACTCATGCCGGAAGTGCCCTCGCTAGCCACAATTGTAGCAGCGCCTGTGCCATCGTCGTCAAGGTCGAGTCAGCCTCCGCCCCGCCGTCTGTGCCGCCATCATCATCAGCTACTTGTCTGCTCGCTTTCCGTCAGCCTGCGCACGCCGCCGCGACCTCTTGTCGAACGTCTTCAGCCGGCCGAGCGCCCCCTCGAACGGTATGGTCTTGACGTTGCAGAATTGCTCATTGTCGGCGACTGCCACGTACAGCCGGTCGGGCACCGAGTCGAACAGCTTATTCACCATATCGGCATCCTCCAGCATCGTCCCGATTATGCCGCCATGCCACCAATCTTGCCGGCGAATGCATCCAGCGACTCACCGTCCGCCATACGCAGACGCTCGAACTCACCGTGGAGGGTGGCTAGCCGCGCCGCCCGGACCCGATCAACTCCAACAAAACGGGTCTTCAAGATGGCCCAGACCTCCACCACCGTCTTCTTCATCGGCACCTGCATCAGCAGGTCTTCGGAGAGCGCCCCGAGCAGGTAAGCTCGCGCCGTCTTGTCCTTATTTGCGACGACCGCCGCCACCTCTTCCTCCGCTGAAACCATCGCCTCCCAGAGCCCGGCCACATCCAGGTTGGCCTCCACCTTGATTGCCCAGGTGGCGACCAAGCTCACCGCTGGGGAGGTATGGGACTCCTTGAAGGTGAGGTTCGTCGGCGCCGATCGGGTCCGCGCGGTGAGGCTGGGGACGCTGCGCGGTGAATTTGACCGGATGAAGATGGCGGACGGCGAGGAGCTCGACGTGTACGGCGGGAGGCTCGCGGCGATGGCGGCGAGGTACGCCAACCTCAGGGAGACGCTGGGCGACACGGCGCTCGTCAAGAAGTTGTTGGATACGGTGCCAGAGCGTCTCTTCCCCGTGGTCGCAGGCATCGAGCAGTTCCACGACGTGACGACGATGGCGTTCGACGAGGCGCTCGGGCGGCTGCGCGCGTTCGATGAGCGGGTTCGGCGCCGTGGACATGACGGCGGCAAGCGCGGGGTTGAGCAGCTCCTCATGACAGCGGCGCAGTGGGCAGCGCGGGAGCGTCGACACTAAGCTGCGGCGAGCGGGGCCACTTCAAGCAGGAATGCCCTAAGCTGCGGAGGGTGCCGGCGGCGGAGCAGGCAATGTTGGCGGACGTCGGCGTCGAGGATGGTGGACTTCTCTAGGCCATGGCTTTGGGGGTGAATGTTAGACAAATAAGCCGTACATGCATACGTGAGCTAGGTAGACGTGAGATGCATGCATGTATTAGCTGCGTGTAGTGTGTGCTGTTCTGTTGACGGGAATCGGGGGAGCGTTGGAGTCGGTCCTGGCGGGCGCGCATGACCTGGGCATGTACGTGCATGTCGCCAAGGGCGCGTGGATGGCGCGGGCTGGATCGAGTGCTCAGCGTGATCTGGGACGTTGGTACGTGCCCGGCGAGTCCCAGGGTATAAATACCCCAGCATTGTCACAGATGGATCTGGAGTTTGTTGCTCGAGGAAAATATAAACGGCCGTTCATGCGGCCGGCGGCGTACGTGCGCCGGGGCAAACTCTTGCTGTGTTTTTCTCGTTCTTCTTGCTTCTTTCTTCTACGTCTGTGCGAGAGAGAGAGAGAGAGCTGAAGGTGAGGAGGAGAGCTAGGGCTAGACACCAACACTCACCATTGAGCACAGGGACCGACATCAACAGCGAGCTCCCCGATCCGCCGGCGTACGACACGAGTGACATCGCCGGCGATCACCCAGCTTACGTGGCTTTGATGCCAAAAGTTGGAGCAGAAACTCTTGCCCTAGCTCATCGCAGCCCCCTCTGGTCACCTGACTCTCTCCTGTCTCATATAAAATAAGAAGAAAGGAAGATGGAGGGCACACAATGGACTTCTTTCCGGCGCACGAACGCCCGCCGCCCGAACGGATTTTCTCCTCAAGCAACAAACTTGAGCCACACCTATAACACACGGGAGGGGTGAGGGTTTATACGTGTGTGCACCAACGCTCCACGACGCGCACCAGACGCCACCCCACTCTCCCATACACACACGGGCACGATCGGGCCCAGCACCCAGCGCGATCACACACCCATAGATCTCGCCAACTAACCCACACTTGCGCGTGCACACACACACACATGTGGCTATAGACTCGACGCGAACCGAACCACGGCTGACACGTCTGGCGCACGCACGCACGCTCGCCCGATGCGCCCTAGCCATAGCGGCGGCTTATTTGGCTATCAAATACCTTTTACATAAAAACACAAACACACCCCCCGGCTCTGGGGCGACTCGGGGGTGACCAAACCATACCGCCTGAGCCCCCTCTCTCCTTCCCCTCCCATTCACCGCCGCCATCTAAGGACGCCGCCAGATTCTGATTGCATACGTTGCAAAGTAGCATCCCGGTTTCCAGTGCTCTTGTGTAGCTCCGGACCTCCTGCAGGGCATTAGCTCGCTGGCCCATAGCACCCCGCTTGCAACAGAGCATGATGAAATGCAGCATTCCAGATGACTTTGGCGAGCAGTTGTGCCTGGCAAGCTTGTAGCAAAACACCGGTGAGATCGCCACACCCGAGCAGGTTGCAATGCAACACCCATGTGACTTCGGCTAATAGCCACGCCAGGCTAGCTTGCAAGCATGACGGTGGCCGCACGCGATGCTGCATCTTTGGCTTGCAGCACCCTGATCCAGCTCCTTTACAACCCTGAAGCACCCATCGTTCTCAACGAACAGCCATCCCAGATTATGATACGCCACCGACCGGCCTCGAAGCATGAGCACAACAGATGTTGTGACCACCCGTTGAAGCAACGATCATTGTTACATCATTGGCGAGCTCCCTGGTTGCAAAATCGGCCCCGGCTACGAAGCCGACGAACTCCGTGGTTGCAACGTCGGTGAGGCTCTGCAGGTATCACATCGGCGTGCGAGCTCGGCCTTTTAATATTGGCCGCTAGCAATGCTCGATTGAACCAACAATGGTGAATGGACCACTGGCTACAACAGCATACACCGATTGCAGCACCCTGTCGAGGTTCTAAGGTTCTAGCACAGGCGAATGCTGCTGCGAGCAGCGCACCTTGGGCAGGATCCAGAAAATGGTACAGGGGAGCTCTGGTGTACGTGTCAGGGTAGGAGACGAAAATGAGTGGTGAACACTTCGTCGGTTGGGATAAGGAAGGGGAGGGCACTGCGGTGTGTGGGAGGCGACTTACATCCGTGATGCGATCGGTCGGTTCATGTAAAGGATTTTCATGTAAAAACACACTTTTTGAATGAAGCAGCTTACGTCCGATTGTA